CCGCAGTAAGGAGGAGAGGAGAGTACTTCTGTCCAAACACACCCCAACCAACGAGGATGAGCCACTGGATTTTTAGTTCTTTATTGGCAAAGCACTCAGTTACATCATCTCCTAATGTGCAAGTGAATACATCAACAGTCTTTGCTAACTAGCTGTCTAGGCACCTAAGACTGCAGACTTGTGTTCCGTCTTGGACAGAACACTCCCTTCTTAAACTCCCTTGCCAGATGTAGTAGGCTCAAGCACCCATCGGCTCTTCTTCAATGGCAGTTTGAGCTGATCCTGGTGCCCCTCCTACAGTATGGAAACAATGGAGTGTGCAGGGGACTCAGGGGTTTCCAAAGTAATGACTCTCTCTGTACATGCTGTAGTCTCTCCAGAATCTGAGGCTCTTCTCTTGTCTCCAGTTGCCCGGTGCCCTCCTTCTTCACCACCAGCAGCTGTCTCATGAGTGGCACAGGACCCCACAAATCACTGGCCCGTTCTCCTGGATCATCCTTCTCCCTACCTGTCTCTTCTGCCCACACATCCCTCAAGTTTTCGGGCTCCTCGCGGTCCCTGACAACTCCTACAGTTGATGAAGGCACAAGTAGTCTCTATGGCAAGGACTACTTGGACAAGGACAACTTAAGCATGATGACCCATGCATTGGTAACTTCACAGCTGGATTGCTGCAACGTGCTCTGTTTGGGTGACCCTTGAATTCAGTTCAGAAGCTGCAGCTTCTGTGGAATGCAACAGTTTGACTGGCGAGTATATAACGCCTGTTTTAAAAGAACGGCAAATCTATCAGATTCTTTCAGTTTCTCATTTTTCCAGTCTCATGTTCACTTCTCCACATTTTCACGTCAGCTTGAAAATCCATTTTAGTTTGCAAAATTAAATGTTGGAAGCTGGAGACACAGAGGCTTGTCTTGCTTTGTGGTGGACCCAGAGCTGTGGCTTCTCTGAAAACAATGCGGGAAGCAAGTTCTGTTGGGGTGATAATGCTGCGAGCCCCTCGATCCTATGCTCAGGTGGCATATATGTGTAAATTAAGACCTATATCCCAAAGACACCAGAGTCTCCACGGACATTTGCTCCAAGGATACTGAGCAGTGGGTGAGCACACCCCGCCCCCGGATCTCTTGCTGCTCGGATATTGGGGTGAGCACAAGAACATTAACCGTGAGATAACTATCAGATACATTAAAGCTCCCCTCTTTGGCTGCCATGTAAGGCACTGCAGTGCTTTCACATCAAAAAAGGTGTTTTCAAAGCCTGTGAACACTTTGAGGACAGATGGTTCGGCACCAGTTTGAGCAGAACTGGCTGCTATGCTTTGTCCCTTTAAACCTGTCCGTGGCTGTAACCTGAGAAGCCCAGCAGCGCTGCTAGGATCAGTTATTAGTAAGTGCACAAGCTGTTACCGAGTGTGAAGCAGGCGCTTGGAGCCCAGCCAGTAATATAGTGTTGGACTTGTTCCTTCAAGTGTGCCATAGATTTATTTCCCTCAAGACGGTCCACGTGCTCTGCTGGACTTGACAGAAACTGTAATAGAAAATGACCAGCAGAATGCAAGGTATCCAATATCTCCCCAGGTTTCCCTGAGGAGAGTTTGCTGCAACTGTTGCTCTGCCAAAGACAACAGAACTGGGATTCTCAACTGTTTTCTAGCAGGGATACCTCAAGCACTTGAACGAACCTGGGAGTGTCTCTGTAGTTTTTGAACTCGTTGGGATTGTGTTGATCAGAAAGGGATGCTTAGGCACAGCCTGCCACTTGTTGCTTCAGTAGATGCGGGAAAATCACTCAGTCCTTTGTGGTGACATCCTGGATCCCCTGTAAGTGTTGCATCAGCACAAGGGGAGGTCAATTCAGTCCTGCAAACACAGCGGCCCGCAGTCTGCTGAGACAGACGGATGGCAAGAACAACAACAATGGGCGTCCTTTTTTCCTGTGGGTCCCCCCATGACGCTGCTATAACGTTTAAAGGCCTGCAGCCACATGGACAGGGACTTTTTAGTTTAGAGAAAAGGCAAGTGAGAGGTGGCAAGTTAGGAGTTGATGGAATTATGCATGGCATGGAGAAAGCAGATGGAGAAAAGTTCTTCTTCATGTCTCAGAACACTTGAACTCATGAACCTCCAACAGAGCTGAATCTACTTCTTCACTTGCTTCTATGGCACCCTCTCTCTCAGGAACTGGGGATGGGCACCGACTTGGATGGGTTTAGAAGAGGATTCAGCAGATTTGTGGAAAAGACTATCAATGGCTACTCGTCATGATGGCTATGCTCTGCCTCCAGGACCAGTCACTCATAAGGCAAGGTGAGGTGGTTGCCTCAGGTGGCAGGATTCGCTAGGGCAGCAGATCCCAATGTAGATCTTTCTTCACAGCCAGTCCACTCATGAGGGAAGGTGAGGTGGTTGCCTCAGGTGGCAGGATTCACTGGGGCAGCAGATCCAAATGTAGATCTTTCTTCACAGCCAGTCCACTCATGAGGGAAGGTGAGGTGGTTGCCTCAGGTGGCAGGATTCACTGGGGCAGCAGATCTTGATGTCAATCTTTCTTCCCCTCCTTGTTCCTGATGTAAATCTTCCCTCACTCCTTCTTTCCTGATGGGTGGGGGTGCCAAAATGTCTTGGGCCAACCCTGTCTGGGCCAGGAGTCAGCTTTGTTTGCTGAACAGCAGCCTGAGGGGATGGGGAGAGGGCAGAGTGACTCCACCTGCAGCTGATCAGCCTTCAAGGGCACGGAGGAGAAGGCTTTGATGGGAATCAGGTGGCTTCAGCCTTCTTAAGCAGAGCTTCCATCAGCAGTCAGATGTTGGTAACAATGCTTGTAGTTCCTGGCCTTACCTTGCTGCTTCTTGCTTATCTTGAGCCTTGACCCCATGATAATTGGATTCCCTGACCCCTGAACCATCTGACCATGTGGATTCTTGTTTGCCCGACCCTAGGACTGAACCTGACTGTGGATGCTGACTCTGCCCCCAGGCAAGTACACCTCAGAGAATCTTCTGGTTGGCTGGCTGGCCTCCCACTCCACTGAGCTATGAACGTTGTCGCTCAGTAACAAGGCTACAATACTGTCTGCCTCTGCGGTTGGAGGCAGCGATGCCTCTGAACACTGGTTGCTGGAGTGGTCCTGTGTTTGGGTCCTGCTTGCCGTTTTCCCACAGGCATCTGGTTGGCCACTGTGAGAACAGGATGCTGGACTAGATGGACCACTGGACTGATCTAGCAGACTCTTCCTATGTTCTTATGACCAGTTGCATTATGGATTCTTTTCACAAAATTGTCACCCTGATTTTGGCTGGGTAATGCTTTAGTGGCAAGAAGGATTTAAGTGACCACCTTTCCACATGGTTTTAACTATGAGACGTCCCTAAGCAAAGTGACTTCTGGTGGGGTCCCCTGCTAAAACCAAGCCCTGGTGGTGGCAGCAGAAAAATGCCATTCTCTGATCAGTGCCCCAATATAGCATTGCTCATGCGCATTGTGAGAAACTAAAGTAGCAGCTCCCAGACACCTGGCCCGGATCATCAAAGATCTGGTTTTTTTATTTTTAAAAAAGCGGGGCCAGTGAAGATGCCCACTGTGGACCCTGTTTGGGAGCTGTGGCCCTGGCACCTGCCCGAGGATGCCATGCGGTGACACCAGAACTGAGATCAAGGACTGCACTAGAAGCCTCCAAGTTCTGCAACCAGAAAACCCAGATTCTGTGACTGGAATGAACGATGGAAAATGAGCAGCACCTGAATGCGTTCTACTCATTTCTCTATTCATTCTCGTTCCACAAATGTGTTTGGTGGAGAGTGTGTACCTTTGTGTGTGTCAAGATGACAGTTAAGCCATGGCAGTTAAATGAGCTTAAGCTCAGTTTAATTGGAAACACCCTTTAATACGGTTGCATTAAAAACAAACAAACTCTGCAATCATTATGTGAAGGGAGCTCTGGTCAGTGGTTTCAGAACCATTCCCCGTTGGTTTGTGGAGAAGTTAATTGCAACATTTGAGCTGTGTACACAAGAGGAGGTTGGAGCTATGAATTGCTGAGAACTGCAAGGGGCTAGATGGATTCGGCAAGTGAGGGAAAGGTTAAAGACGTACACCTGCAGGCACTACAGGAGGCCATGCTGGAGAGAGACAGTCTCCATGCAGGCAAGAGGCTGGGATTTTTAAGATGTTGTCAGCATTTTTTCCTCATAAGCGGCGGTTGGTTAGCTGCAGGTTTTGGGTGAGGGAGAACAGGTGGAGAAAGAGGAGTTAAATATGGGCAACAAATGGAATATTTCTTAAATGGATATGGATATTCTCTGTTTCCAGCTTTGAAATATTTAAAAGGGTGTCATAAAGCAGAAGGACGGTGAAAGAAACAGTGAGGCCAAAAGACAGGAAGGTAGATCTGAACCAAAAACTTTGACTGCTTCCAGGTTGCTGTTATTTTGGGAGAGGGATTCAGTGGCATAGCAGCAAATTTGGGATGCGCAACTAGCATGGATTTGCACAATAACTTGACACCCCCCGCAAAACCAATCTTTTTGCAGTAGGGAAGGTACGCACAGGAAAGCGTGGGATAACAATTGCTTGACACAACATTGTCTAACCTCCCTGCAACTGTGGTGTGAACAAATCAGGATGAATGGTCAATGAATAGGTCATCTGGATGAAGGCACCTTAAGAAAGACCACTAGAGCAGTTCACCAGTGCAAGAAATTGCCTAGGAAGCTGAAGGTTTTCAAGAGAGGAACAACAGGGATGTGTTAAAGCTTAAAATGTAAGCCAAGGTTAACCTTGCAGAGGGGCCATAATGAAACTCCGTGCCTCGAGGCAGACTGCAGGTTCCCCTTTGACAAAGTACCACCCTCTGGGGCCATGTGCTTACTTGGCGGTGGCAGCACAACAGTTGCCTTGGAATGACTCAACATAGAAGGATATTGTGGTCCCAAGACTAGGGGAGGGACCATTTTAACTTCCCATGCTGTCAGGCATAAGTCAGCAACAAAAACAATCACCTGAGGTCAGTGCAGTTAAATCTTTATTCAAGGAAACCCTAGCCCAAGCTTAATGGGCTCAGCCGCTCTTTCTAGGAGGCCTTGGTCTGATGAGGCAAATGAAGCTGCCCAAGAATAGTGCAAGTGGATGCCAGTCTCAGCACAGGATTATCCTAGTTTAATAGACATTCACTTTCCTGAGAAAGTGTGGTAATTGTAGTTCTGTGAGAGGGTTTGAGTCTTCAAGAGAATGCTCAGCAGCCTCAGCAAACTACAGTTCGCAGGATTTCAGGGGGTAGAAGGAGTTGTGGCAGTCAAACTGCTATAAAATTATGTAAGCTTCTATCGCAAATATTCCTTCCAGAGTGGATGCTTACCCCTTCCTCCGGGTGGGTGGTTGTTGCGGATCCCCATGCTCGGTCACCATCCTTGGACAGCTAGAACAGAATGCTCATGGCCAGGTGGCCATTGAGGGAATTCCCCCTGGCCGCATGGATAGCTGGCTCAAGTTCCCGCCAGCTGCTGCACCTCAAATTGGCCAATGTGTGGCCTGTTCTGGGGGGTGTGCCTCTCTGGCAGAAAGGGCATTGGCTGCACGCACACCCAGGCAGTTGGTGAGGCATAAAAGCTGGCTGCACCTTAATATGCCTTCCAGAGCTGCAGAAGATGTCCAAGACAAGAGAGCAAGTCTCATGGAATTTAGGGACTTGTGCCTCACTGAATGCACCAAAGATTACAGTTCACATGTGTCCCCTCTCTTCCAGCTCTAATGGCCAGCATGGACATTTCTTTGACTGGATCACACTCTTCACTCCACTAACACTTCGTGGAAGGTCCCAGGCTTGGTAGTTTAGGTGCCTGGAGGCAAAGGGCAGCTGGCCAGAGCTTTAGATGTGTCAGCAGCTGCAGAAGAATAATCTCTGGAGGGACAGTGCTGCCAGGAAGCATCCCTAGGTGCAACCTTCCCAAAACTCACATGCCTTTGCCTGTGTACATGTGTATAAAAGTATTTTTGGAACTGGCTGTACACTCTTATTTGTAGTGTGAACAGTGATGGCTTAGGCTTCCATCGCAGTTCATTCATTTTCATATGAAAGCAGGATGTTCCTTTGGTACGTTGCAAAACTGGATTGAAGGGACTTGCTGGGTGGTGGGGGACTCTTTCAAATGATCAAATGTTCCTGTGCAAATATACTGTTATGGGATTGTGGCTGGTCAGGTGTCTTCTCATAAATGTAAACAATAAGAGTGGTAATATTCGGGGTCGACACATTCAAAATGCACTTAACTAAATCATGACTATAAAGTCCATTGCTTTCAGTGAGTCTGCTCAAAGTGTGACTCAGTCAGCTGTCTCTCTGAACGAATATGGGGTTGCCCCTGTAGATGGTCCTTTGGACATCCTCGCTTACTCCCAAATGGGCTAAGTCCACCTTGCTATACCTGGGAGCCCTCCTGCTCATTCTGCTGAAAGTGGCCCTGGACCTCTTCCCTAAAGTCATGCTCTGGTGATACCTCCAGATCCATCATTTGATTAAGAGATATGATTTTTAAAATTTTAAAAAGCCTAGTACATACTTGCCAAATATCAATTTTTAAGGTTCGACTTAAAGCGCTTCTTTGCTCTTGAATCTGAGTGAAACTTAATGTAACTTGCATGTCAGAGTGCAGAACAGATTCCCAAGGCAAGTGGTGGAACCCTGTTGCTTGAGACTCTTAAAAGTGGATTAGACAGCAGACTCAGAATTGCCCTGTAGGGAACAATCTCGCATTGACAGTGTGATGGAATAGATGACCTCATAGTACAGCTGTGTGTGTGAGAGAAAAATGTCTAATATACGAGTTTTTCTTCTCCCATGAAGCTATGCAGTGATAAACCGCCAAAGAAATAAACTTAGACATATAGTGTGATCTTGGATGGTAAAGCTTGCCTTGTAAAGTTCCACTGCAGACCTGTTCTATTTTCAGTCTTGCATATTTCCAGTTACATTCATTGCATTGTAGATATAATAAACAGAGATAACCTGTTCTTCATATGCTCCAGAAGAACACAAAGCATCTTCATGCTTCTGGTTACTATATTTCAGATTTTACAAGCCTATGGGATAAGATTTCTTCTCTGATCTTTGCAGTCCTGAGGTTAATCATACAATAAATCAGTGTTTCCTAGACTTTTTGGTACATGGGACACAGTCCTCCTCTGGATTGCAACTGGAGCTTCACTCTTGCACTTATTCCCAATGGTCTTCTGATTTTTCTGCTTAGGTTCTTTCCTGGGTTGAGTTCAAACAGACTTTTGTTTAGGGCCTGCTTTTGTGCAGGAGTGCAGACAGTAGGAGATGGTACCAGCGGTGACTGGTGCCTGTTGTGACTGCTGGGGTGGAAAGCAGTGAGACCAGACGTGGGTGGAGCCACCCTCAATGACAGATGGAACCATTCCCTGATTGGCTGAAAATAAGAAAGCCAACTGACTTTGGTGAACCTTTACAAACCAGCCTCCACTGGCTACCAGTATGGCAGAGCCATGGAGCTGCCGTCCTGACTCCAGCTTACCTGGAGAGGACTGCAGGGAGGTTGGGCTGCACAGGCCCACCACACACATCCCCAACCTCACAACCGCCCTGCCCCACACCAGTCCAGGTAAGTTGCAGTGATGTTGGTGTTGGAAAGGCAGTTCCATGGCACTACCTCACCCCACTGGACTGCTCCTGGCTACAAGAAAGGTGCAGTCCATTTGTGTGTGTGTGTGGACAAGCTGAGTTTGATTCCCTGGAGAGCAATGTGGTGCAGGGGTAGGAGTGCCACACTAGGACTAATTTTTTTGATAATTATCATATTTTACTCTTTTTTGCAAACCGCTTAAAGGCTTTATTAAAACCCATCAGTACATGAATGTTGTGAAAAATATAAGACGGTCCAGATCAGGGATTCCACCGAACAACTCTAACGTAGAATTCTTGACATGCCTTGCTGAGAACTTCTTTCAGGTGGTGGAAGAAGGAATGAGGGAATCAACTGTCCTGGATGAACCTAACCAATAGGGCAGATGTGGTTGATGAGATCAAAGTAGTGTAAACTGTGAGGGAAAGTGACCATATAATGCTGGAATTATTGATCTCATGGAAAGCTCATGGTGTGTGTAGTCAAACATGTGCCTTGGATTTCAGGAAAGCTGATTTTAATAAGCTCAGAAACGCTAGGTGGAATTCCAGTGCTAGATAAACTAATTGGTGAAGGAAGCCTCCTAAGGCTCTGTCCTGGGCTCAGCACTCTTCAATGTTTTTTAAAAGTTATTAATAGCCTAGATGAAAGGCTGGGGGAATCACTATGCAATATAAAGATGACACACAATGGGGGGGGGAACAATAGATAACACCCCAGAAGACAGGAATAAAATGCAAAATGGCTGTGATGGAATGGGAAACTGGACTGAAAGTAACAAAATTTAATTCAACAGGGACAGATGCATAGTTTTGCACCGGGGAAGAGAAATCAAATGCAGAGGCAAGGGATTGGAACCACCTGGTTTGGCAGTACTACATGTGAAAAGGATCTTGGGATAGCAGCCAATTACAAAATAAACATGATTCAGAAAAATGATGTGGCTTCATAGAAGGCAAATGTGGTTTTAGGTTCCATCACAGAACCATTGTTTCCAAGATACAAAAAGTGATAGCTCCACTTTATTCTGCACCAGGGCCTGTCCAGATCAATGTTTTATTGCAGGTGCATTCCGCAACATGTTCTTGACACAGTAGCGCATTTGTGGTGGATTTATTCTGCTCTACTAGTTGTTGTGGGATGCTTTCCCAGTGCTACCACGCTATTGCTGTTTGGAGGGACAACAGTATAACAAAAGTGGGACAAAAAGAAATAAATAAACCAGAACATTTGTGGTGTAAAACGTTACAGGATTTCCACGGAAAGCTATCAGATATAACTGGAAATAAAACAGTGTGACTGCCTCAAAACTTCCTCAGGCACAAACAGCTTTGAAAAGGGGGATCACGTATGACTGCCCCGATAGAATCATGAGTGTACAATAAAAAGTACACGTGGAAGGCCCCATAGATGAGGGGAAAGACTTGTCCTTAGCTGTCCTAGACGGTAGGACTAAATAGAACAGGCTTATGTACGTAGCATGAAGGTACATTTCAGCTGAATAGTTTGACAACGGGGCCAATTGTCTAGAGAGCTGGTGCACTCTTACTGGAGGGTAAAGATGGACTTCCTAGCTTTCACTTCCTAGCTTGAGCAGAAGTTTAGAATAGATGGTTTACTAGACCCTCTGGCTCTGTGATTCTGTTAATCTCATGGAGAGCTGCTGCCAGTTAAAGTTGATGGTGCTGAGGTAGACAAACAGACAGTCTGACCTGGGACAGACAGCTTTCTATGTTGCCATCTAAGATAGTTCCATTTGCCCATCTACTGTTGAAGTCAGAACTGGAAGCCCCTGCATTAAATGTGCCCCCACCAGAGGGATGTTCTTTGGCCCTCAACTGTCAACTGGGAAGCACAAAGGAGACAGGAAGGAAGTTTCTATGGGAACATAGGAGGCGGCCTAAAACCTCAGGCCGTGGATCCATGGCTCCACCTCAGGACATGGATCTGGCTCAGTGTTGTCTACACTGACAGACTGGGTTTCAGACATGGTTCTTTCCCTGGAGATTGACCTTGGGTTCTTCTACAGGCAAAACAGATGTTCTGTCACTGAGCTGTTGCCCAGTAGAATTAGTTGGCGGCCTCTTTGAGTATTCAGGGTTGAGCCTTTGACCTGCCATCCACGTTACCCTCTTCAAATGGCCATCTGGGGGAGGGAGGGGAAAAAAGACCTGCTGACTGAGGGCAGATTCACACCATGCATTTAAGGTATATTCAATGCATATTTAAAGCACAAGGAATCCTGGGAAGTGTAGTTTCTCCCTCACAGAGCTGTAATTCCCAGAATCCTTAACAAACTACAGTGGTACCTCAGGTTAAGTACTTAATTCGTTCCGGAGGTCCATACTTAACCTGAAACTGTTCTTAACCTGAAGCACCACTTCAGCTAATGGGGCCTCCCACTGCTGCTGCACCACTGAAGCACGATTTCTGTTCCAATCCTGAAGCAAAGTTCTTAACCTGAAGCACTATTTCTGGGTTAGCGGAGTCTGTAACCTGAAGCGTATGTAACCCGAGGTACCACTGTACAGTTCTCAAATTGTATGTGCTTTGACTGGAGTGGCCCTTGACTGTCTCCTGTTGCCATGTAGCCAATAAAAAAAATGGTAAGGCCGGAAAAGAGCAGAGGGCTCCTTGGCTTTTAAAAATACGTGCCGAGGAGCCCAGTGTCCCTGGCAAGAGAAGACAGCCCAGATCCTTTCTTCCTAAGCCTTGGTATGCTCCTACTGTTAGCTCAGACATTCAAACTATGCTCATGCATGCTTGCTCATACAGGTGATTTTTCTAATACACTAACGACAGAAGACAGCTTCTCACCCAACATATAAAGTCATCTGTTATTTTTCCAGCTAGGGAAATTGTTAGTTTTTAATGTTGCTTTTTCAGCTGGAACAATTTAGCGAGCCAGGATCAATGTGAAATGCTGCACATCAATCATTTTCTATGGATCACAAACCAAAGGCGAGTAAAAGAAGAAGAAGGGGGGGGGAGAGGCTTTGCTCATCGGCACTAAATCAAGCACCCCGTCCGTTGCCCCATTTTTTATTTTTTTATTTTTTTTGCACAGAAGGAGCAAAATGTTTACACGAATCGTTTTGCATCACTTCAGTTATATAATGAGAAGTAGCTTACATTTAAAGGGTAGTATTTCTACCACATTACATCTGGAATATGATTCTCCATGGAGTTGGATCTCTTTTGGCTGTACTAACTCATCATGTGCTGAAGGTCTCTTAATATTTTTCCATTCTAAATAACTTCTGAAGTTGTTTATTTTTTATATACAGATGTTGTTATGACTATATTGTGTGCAAGCTAGCAATGGACAAATTTGTTGATGCTGGTTATTCTCAGCTCTTAATTTTCCCAGTCTTAAATTCAGACCCCCTCACTACTGTATCAATTTGCAATTTTCTTTATAAAAACACCCCTGTACACAACAATGTGCAAACATTCTCATGTGCAACTCTCTCAAGATACCCATTTTTGTACGCAATCTTGCCTAGTATATGCAATTTTCATGAACACATGCATTCTTGTGCATGTTTACTCCTAATATATGCTTTTTGTCTGCCTCCTTTGGTTGGAGAACTACATTATGAAATTTGGAGGAGTGCAAATTTTGAAGGATAGCTGTGCTTCGGCTTGCATATCATTTAGAAAAAATTAAAATGTGGACTAAATGACCCTCCCCCTCACATCCTTATGTGCAACAATATCTTGCTATTCAGAAGGGAGGAGAACCCTTTAGACCAACGTTTCCGAAACTTGAGTCTACTGCTGTTTTTGGACTATAATTCACATCATCCCTGAACACTGGTACTGCTAGCTAGGGATGATGAGAGTTGTAGTCCAAAAACAGCTGGAGACCCAAGTTTGGAAAGCACTGCTTTAGACCAGTGATGCCCTCCAGATGTTGTTGGACTGTAACACTCATCATCCGTAATCATTAGCCATGCCTACTGGGGGTGATGGGAGCTGAAGCCCAACAGCATCTGAAGGACCACAGGTTTTCCATCCTTGGTTTAGTGTTGCATCCAAACTGTGTGTAGGGGGTAGGGTCAATGGGTGTGATCCTGTGCCTTCCTCCATCCATCTCCAGTGAACGGTATGAAGGACCATCTTATCAACAACTGAATCTACACCTCAGTTATCTTTATCAATGATATCTGAAGGACAAAACCAAAATGTTAAAGCCAAGGACCTGCTGTTATATATTTTATTTGCAGCATGATTATCTATAGCTGAGGCATGGAGAGCTCTTACAAACCATTGGTTCATTTTGCACAGTGTTGTCTACAGTCACTGAGTATCAATCAGCAGCTCTCCAATGTTTCAGAAACATCTTTCCTAGCCCAAAGTGGAGAAGCCAAAGGACTGAACCTGGGATGTTCTGCATGTAAAGCATGTGTTCTTCCATTGGGTTATGGGTGCTTCTCCTCCTTAAGATCTATTAATTGCTGTAAATCAAACTGCAGGGTTCATCCACACTTCTGCTCGTCCCATTATTTCCCTTAAACTAATTATAGTGACAGAGTAGCTCAGTTCTCATAATGAAGGCAGAGAATGGGGAATGAGAGGCTCCACTTCTCCACTAAGAAGGAACCTCCCAGTAGATAAGATGAGCCCATGATAATACAGCTACCCAGCAAAGAGAAACAAGAAAGCGCTTATTCTCAGCTGCTGAATTGTAGACCAAAATACTGACACACACTTTGGAGACATGGATATCTTGCATTTTGCCTTAGTCTGTAGACTGTAGGTGATTATGTTTCTCTCTGTATATTTTGATGCACGTTTGTGATCTGTTGTGTTATTCTTTTTTTTTTAACCCTCAGGCTCTGCAGAAGTCTTAAATTCAGGAGGGTAAATCTGTGATGTAAATGGGCAGCAAGTTGCCCTTTTAAACTCTTATTATAAGAGAATATTGTACTGTTAATGAATAATGGAAAGGGGGAGAAGAAGCTCAAGAGAAACATTCAAACAGCAGGGCATACATTATTGCATCTCCACAGAAGCATCTGAAGTAGCGCTTGCAAACTTATTTATCCTGCTACTCAACCAAAATGATGCATGTCATTTGCCATGGCAACCCTTCCTTCATCATATGTGCCTATATATTGCTTCAGATGTGTGGGCCACTTTCTTAAAAAGAAACAAACGCATACCCAGACATCGATGTCACATGAAATCCTATTCATTTCACAGTGCTTTGATGTGAAAACATGTACCTCAGGACACAGACATCCATTTCTTCCCTCTGCCCCATATTATTGCTGTTCTGTCTTCAAGTATCTGTGGCAACAATGTGTTTCAGACAGAAGTCTCCTGTTGCCCATCTCTTTCCAAGAAGAGATTAGTGATACAGGACCACCCTTTGACCAAGGCGCCTCTGTTCTTCTGGTTCTATTCGTCAGTGAGGGAGACAGTGAAGTGTGAGCTATGTAAATACAGATCTCCAGGATCTCTGGGAAAAAGGCAACCTTAAGCAGTCTTCTCCGTAATAGGAATGGACAAATCTGTCAGTGTTGGTTTCTAGTAGTTTCTCGTTTTTCCAGTCTGTTTCCCCCATTTCCCAAACAGTTTATGGTGGTTGTTTTTAAAGAGATCCACACAAGAATGTGCACATTTTGTGTAATTTCCCCTAAGATATGCGTTTTGTGCACAATTCTGTCCAATATATGCATTTCTGCAAGCAATTTCTCCTGATACAATGCATCATTTAACATATATTTTCATGAATGTAGTGTTTTGTATGCACTTTCCCCTAATCTTTGCATTTTTATACACATTGTTGGGTTGGAGAACTGCAACGTAAAAATCTGGAGAGTTCTACATTTCAAAGAAGAGCTCAGGTTTTGTTTGCATGCTGGTTCTGGAGCTGTGAATTAGGGAGCACCTGTGTGATTCTACCTATGTGTGCTTCTAGAGGAGGTGGTGGTTTTGTGATATATGGTGTGTGTGTGTGTGTGTGTGTGTGTGTGTGTGTATGTGCGTGTGTGTGTGTGTGTGTGTGTGTGTGTGTGTAGGCTGAGCATAAGATGGAAGGGCCCACAGCGTTAATACTCCAATAGATATTGGTTCCTATTAGGCATCCAAGCCCCTGTCCCCACAAGTCATACTTCTGGATTCAGCACAGAGCAAGTTAAATCTTTGTGCCTTTTCCTAGGTCAGGTTAAAGATGAGACTTTCTCACATTCACCAATGATATCACCTCCAACTGAAGAAGGGGAGGGGAAAAAGCTTTCCCCCACCCACATCTGCAAGTATCTCCAGCTAGTAGCACTAGCTCTTTAGTCATGTAAAGAGATACCGGTAATTAACAGACTTCTAATTGAGGCACTAAGTCAACTAAGAGAATCTTTTGACTACTTTAGCAGCCTCTGTTTCTACACAATCCCATCATATGGATACAAAACATCAAAGCCAACCCACCCAGTCTTATAATAATATTTTCAAGCATCTGAAGATGAGAAAAGAAAATAGTAAGCTGTTATAGGATTTTCTGTTCGTGTTAGAATAGGCCCATGAAAGATAACAACATCCATCTCCTCACTTTCACCAAGTATATCCTAGCTCTAGGTTTAGGCTGTAATCCTAGTCTCACTGGAGCACTGTTATTCTCTCTTTTTGTCTTCCTGCCAATTTGGCGTCAAGGGCCTGCCTCATGTCCTGTCACAGAAATGCATTCAGGAAAGGCCCTCACCTGGCTGTTAGCTTTGCCATTCATATTTGTTATGTTCTTTGAAGGTTGGTTTGAAGTTAAGCAGAAGCCATGTTTCTAATAAATCTTAAGTAGAGACCCTTTATGCGAATTAACATCTAAGTCACTCCTTGGAGGTTTTTTAATGTTCCAAAAATAGTTCCCAAGCTTCTGCCAAAGTAGATGTTGCCAGAATTTCCATGGAAAGCATTATCAGTGTGGATGGGTTGATGCCAGTCAGGGTACAAATAATGGCCGCCCAAACCCTTCTCCTCTTCCTGCTTCAGCTGATTTGTGGCAGACGGTGTGTGTGTGTGTGTGTGTGTGTGTGTGTGTGTGAGGGGGGGGATTATTAGGTTTTTGAAATGAAATCATGCTCCCAAGTTCAGAAGAAGATCACCAAAGCCTTCCCCTCCCCTTTTCTTTAAGTCTTTGACAAATATGCCTCACCAGAGACTCTTAAGGAAACCAGTCATGGACCAAGACGTGAAAGGCTGTCATGAGTAGTTTACATCTGGCTGGGAGACAGAAAGCAAAAGCCATGGAAAAAAATGATCAGCTGAAAGTGGCAGAAGGTGAGTGCCTTTACCAAGGGCCAAGGTTCATGATGGAGAAGGACCCAGAACAACATGTCAAACTAGGATGGCTAATTGAAATGCAGCAATGACCATTTTAAGATGGCTCTCACCTTTGGCTCTCTCAATCTTACCAGACTCGACTTCAGACAATGAGCCATTTCACAGGCACTTGGCACATCACAAAAAACAGGATTTGCCAACAGATGTAGCCCTGACAGGGGTCAATAGCCCATCCTAGCTCCATGACATGCATCAAATTAGGTAGTTTTGCAATGAACTGGGAGCTGAATTAGTCAGGGAGGGGGCGGAGCAACAGCTAGCAACCAAAGGGGTGTCACCCAGGCACAGGAAGTCTGTGTTGGGTCACAAACCTCACCCACTGCTTCGATGAGTGAGCGGTAATTTCTTCTCCATCCCTACTGTCATGATCATCTGTTCATCATTGCTCTCTTTCATATGCACACATAGGGTGAAAACGGAGATCATGATGAATGCTTTCTCTGCTTTTGTCCTAAACATACATACAAAACAGAAACAGGTCTGAACCAGATGTGACATGCAGTTACATGTCTCTGCACTGATTTCTTTTTAAAACCAAAAGCAGATTTAGGAGGTTAAAGTTTGAGCAGAGGGATGGTGGGTGAAGGGACTGCTCAATCCTTTCCCTCTCCAGCTTTACTCCCAACTTGAAAGCAAACCCCCAGGCTTCATTTCTTCAGACATGGGGAAAATCAAGATCTGGTGGTGGGTGGTGGTGATTTTGAGTGAGGAAAGGGTTAAGCAGTCCCTTCGCTCTGCTTTTTCTCCACTTGAACTCAGACTCCTGAAACTACTTTTGGTTATAAGGATACCAGAGGAGAAAGGATACATGTCACTCAAGACTAGGGATGAAAAAAGGCATAGTTTTCTGTTCTGCCCTGTATCTGTTGCATGCAGCCCTGTTCCCATTCTGCTGTAGTTCAGGTTCCATAAAAACCATTATTTTGCTCACTGTTTGTTGCAGCCAAATTTAGTAAGGCAATTCATTACATTATTGTCAACAGAATTAACTACACTATAGTTATGTGATTCAGTACATCATCGACAATGTACTGAAAAGCATTGCAGACTCGGGGGGGGGGAATAATGACAGTGAATTCCGATTCACTGCCTGAATCTCAATCCTGTTTGCAGGTGGACAAGTGAACCCACTCAATTTCTGATGCCATTTCCCACTTTGGTGGAATTCTCCTACTCACAACTGCTAGTTTGGATCATGTGGGCAAGGCAATGTGACCTAGATTCATGGAGAAGAGGGCTATCAAAGTCATGATGGTTATGCTCTACCACCGTGGTAAGGAGACTGCCTTGCTTTTGAATGACAGTTGCTGGAAACCACATGAGGGGAGAGTGCGCCTGTGCTTGATGGTTTCCCAAAGACATCTGGTTGGCCACTGTGAGAACAGGATGCTAGACTAGATAGGCCATTGGTCTGATCTAGCAGGCTTTTCTTATGTTCTTAGATTTCACCAGCTTTCTAGAGTATACACCCCAAAAAAGGAGGGGGGGGGAAAGCCCAACTTGGGAAAGAAACCAGCTTTCATTCTGACAAGTCATTTCTTCATACATATGCTATGTAGATGTCACCTCCCTTAGATTAACGTTTGCTGTCTGGCTCATCTGTAGATTGCCCCTAAGCACAACAGAAGCAAATGGAAGGAAAGGACCTATTCCTGGCTGTAAGCATCATTCAGATCTGCATTTTCCAGAGAACGGATCAATCAGGCACATCATGTCCTTTGGTCACGAGCAGGATGAAGTGTGAGGGACACAGAGAAAATGCTTTACAGAGGCTTTGGAAAGCACTGGTGAAGGGGAAAGCTGTGATGGACTGCACAGATTTTCAGATGTCTCTTTGAAGCTGCTGGGCTTTGGAGGGGAACCAAGATGTCTAGGGAACTGCGCTTTTTCAAAACCTGGTGAATAAGCTTCTTCTTCTTCTTTGGTTTCTCTTGATGCATTTTAAAGTCTTTGAAAACTCCAGTCCTATGAGAAGCAAAGGGCTGCTTGGGAACTTGTTCTGGCTGCCGTCCTTATAAACAAAACCTCTGTTATCTACCAACTCAGGAGAAGCTGCCAGGTGTGAACAAAGGAAACAGTTACTTTCAGGGGATGGGAGTCTTTGAAAAACTCTATTCTCCCCAAACCGGAGTGCTAAAAATTAATATATAGTTCGTTACTTGTATTATGCCTCTTTTCAGCTTGTTATTTGCAGGATGTTTCTGCAAAGCACAGTTGCTGCTGTGCCCTGCCAGGGCTGGTAGAGGGCAGTCCTCTACTTGGAGGGGTTCTCTATTTGAAAGGCTGTTTAGTCAAAGTTTGCTTTGGAGATAAAGACTCACACAAAGGGAGAGCAGCAGGGGCCTTGAAGGCACCCATCCACAGTTAGAGGGTTGACAGCAGACTGAGCAGGCATCTGGGTCACCTGCCACAGTCTTCCCCACTATGGTGAGCTGTATTAGTAAACGTTTTGAACCCATACATATATGCTAGCAAATGCAATTTTCTACGCAGTCTTCTTTTTCAGCCCGGTGTAAGTGGTTACCTTGTCTGCTTCTAGTCTCATGTAACTACTACACCATTGGGGCTTCCAACTTTCCCTCCCCCTAAGCCTTTTGAGCTGACACCAAACATTTAAAGCACGTGGCTTCCCCCATTATTCTGTCCCATTATTGCCTTAGAGCAAGAATAGGCAGTATGGTGCCCTCGAGAGATTTTTTGGGCTACAAATTCCATCAGCCCCAGCCAGCGTGGGGTTCCAGTCAGGTGGTCCAACACCATCTGGAGGGCACCACATTAATTACTCTTTCTCTTGACCAGGGATAGGGACCACATTCAGAAGAGTGGGATTCATTGATGATAGTAATAGCCAAGCCCTCACAGCCATGCCCCATCATGCTATGTTCCTTTAAGATTATGCAACCTTTGAAATTATGCAATAATCTTATAATTATACAATAATAAAAACATTGTAATGGAATGATCAATGCAGATCTCCATGTGCTGCCTTTCACCTAGATCTACTATTTTTGTGTGCAAGCACATGGGTAAGTGATTTGGAGTGCCCCAATATCTTATTTCAGAATGACTTATGTTGCATTTTCCTTGATGTTCTATTGCATGTTCCAGGACTTGCATGCCATTCTCTTGAAACTGAAGCACTTTGTGTTATCAGTGTTCCAAAATGCTTAGCTTTGGAGTACACAGAACAACTTCTCCTCAGTGTTCTTCCCAGAGTGACCCTAGGAGCCAATCCTCAGGGGCTGACTCACCTGCTTTCACTCTGATTGGCTCCAACCAGCACCAAGAGTGAGAAGACTTATTCTCAGTGGCTAAAACCCCCCTCCCCTTTAGGCAGCTGTAGGGTGTTGGAAGCAGGGACCCTGCTGCAGAAATAGGAATGGGACTTCGACCCACCGCAACCCCAGACTACTACATCTCTGATGGGGAGCCTGTGGCCCTCAAAGTGTTGATGGCCTGCAAATCCTATCTTCCATAACCTGGAGCTGATGGGAGCTGCAGTCTAACAACACCTGGAGGACTGCAGGCTCCCCACCCTGCCCCAGAGCAACAAGATGTCAAGGTGGATCTCCTGTTGTGTTGACATGAGTTTCCAGAGAACCTATGTAGTTAGGAGTTCCCATGTAATCAACATTTGGAAGACTTCAGCAAGATCAATGTGAAGCAATGCCAGATTAACTCAAAGGGTAGCCTCAGGCACCATTATTTGACTGGTCCCTGGAAACTGTTGTTCATCCTTGCACCTGGGAAGGAAGGCCTCTGGCAGCACACCTGTCCAGAGAAGTCTGCATATGTTTACAAACAGATGCGAAAGTGAAGCCAGCAATGCCTTTCTTGGCCACAATTCTTCTTGCAATACCATCCATCAAAGCAAGCAGCAGTAACTTCAGCTCCTATGGATTATGGGATTATGGATCTTCCTTTTATTATGCTTGAATGTCTTTCCTTTTAAACATTATCCTGTGAGCCAGATTCATGCCAAGAAAGCAAAGGGAAATATTTATTGTGAAACCAGTTGCCGGGAGCAAAATAACAGCAGACAAAGTGCCATCTAGTCCAGCATCTTGTTCGCACAGTGGCCAACCAGAAACCTATGGAAAGCTGGTAAGCAAGACATAAACACAGCAGCACTCTCCCTGCTAGTGATATCTAGCAGCAGGTATTCAGAAGCATACCACCTCCGGCACTGGAGAAAGAACATAGTCATCTTGGCTTGTTGTCATTGATAGCCTTATCCTCCATGAATTGGTCCAATCCTCTTTTAATAAAGCCGTCCAAGTTGGTGTCCATCATTACATTTATGGAGCAAATCCCATAGTCTATCTTTTCTCCACTAGATGTCCTTCTCTATGTACATAACAAAACAAGCTCCTGTAACGAGCTGTTTATCAGATAATTGAGCATGTCTGCGCTACATCACTTCTGCACTAAAATGGTCCGCCCATTAATTTTTTCTCTGCTATTGCTACAGTCTCTAGGTCTCCTAGGAATACAGGGTCCTTGTGCCTTTAAATGTTTGAGGTAGTGAAATAGGCTGCAGCTGCTGCATGCAACTCATTCTGTTGGCTCTCTTACCTACTTTTCCTTCCCCCTCCACCTGTGGCCAGGTGACTGGAAAGTGTGGCCTGCAGCTGGAGGGCAACATAAAGTGGTTGCTTCCTGTCTCTGAATAGGCACCATTTCTTGTCAAGAACCGGGAAACATTTAAGTTATTTTGTGCCCAGTGGTAAATTTTGAAGTGCAGGAGCTGGTCATGGAGGATAAGATTCCCAATGGCAACTAACCATGATTTGTATGGGTGGCACTGTGGTCTAAACCACAGAGCCTCTTGGGCTTGCCGATCAGAAGGTCAGTGGTTCAAATCCCCTCAATGGGGTGAGCTCCTGTTGCTCTGTCCCAGCTCCTGCCAACCTAGCAGTTCGAAAGCACGCCAGTGCAAGTAGATAAATAGTTATTGCTGCGGTGGGAAGGTAAATGGCATTTCCATGCGCTCTAGTTTCCATCATGATGTTCTGCTGCACCAGAAGCAGTTTAGTCATGCTGGCCACATGACCTGGAAAGCTGTCTGTGGACAAATGCTGGCTTTCTCGGCCTGAAAGTGAGATGAGCCCCGCAACCCCATAGTCGCCTTTGACTGGACTTAACCATCCAGGGGTCCTTTACCTTTTTTACCTTTACTTCCAGTGTTGGAGGCACCATGCCTGTTGCTGGAAATGGCACTCAGGAGAATGCTCTTGCACTCAGGTCCTAGGCAAGGGACCATGGCTCAGTGGTAGAGCCTCTTTCTTGCATACAAAAGCTGTCTGGTTCAGTCCCTGGCACTTCCAGGTAGGGCTGGGAGAGAACTGTGTTTGAAGTCCAGGAGAGTCACTGCCAGTCATGGCTTAATGGTCCAATTCAATATAAGTCAGCTTCTAAGGGACACGGGTGGCCCTGTGGGTTAAACCACAGAGCCTAGGACTTGCCGATCAGAAGGTCGACGGTTCAAATCCCCGTGATGGGGTGAGCTCCTGTTGCTCGGTCCCTGCTCCTGCCAACCTAGCAGTTCGAAAGCACCTCAAAGTGCAAGTAGATAAATAGGTACCGCTCTGGCAGGAAGGTAAACGGCGTTTCCGTGCGCTGCTCTGGTTCGCCAGAAGCGGCTTAGTCATGCTGGCCACATGACCCAGAAGCTGTACGCCGGCTCCCTCGGCCAATAAAGCGAGATGAGCACCCCAGAGTTGGCCACGACTGGACCTAATGGTCAGGGGTCCCTTTACCTTTACCTTACACAATCATGTTTATGACTCAGAACTCAGGCTCTCCAGCAGACGTCCCCAAGATGTTTCTCTCTCTGCCACACAATTGCTTGTCTCTTTTTTCACACAGCTAAGACTTTCAATTTCTACCTGAAGCTCAGCTGTTCAAAGAAGCCCTGCCAGAAAGAAAGCTGGCAGCCCCCATCTTCACCACCCTCATCCTTATTCTGATTTTTATTTTTAAGGATGTGAAAGAAAATGAAACTTACATCCAAAACAGCCCTGGCTTGGCACCGGCAAAGCCAAGCCTCAAAAGTATGAGGTTTTGAAAAACCAAAACCACACCTGATTTTTCCATCAAACCCCTAATGTTCTTATTTTGGCATAAAAAAGCCACTAAGAGTCTGCAGGATGGAAGTAGTAATTCATCATCCATCTGCAATACATAGCAAGTCCTCTTTATGATGTCCAATTTCCTTTCAATAGTGGGATTAGTGGTTTTGTTGGCTTTGGGCACTAATCAAGATTTAAAGTTATGAAAAAAAGATGCTCTTGGGTGTTCCCATGAGCGGGGAGAAACAAAAACACTTCCCCTCCCTAAATATTTAATAATAGCTTCTCAGTGATAAAAACAAATGTGGTTACAACCTTGAATTTTATGAGTACAATGGATTTCAACTGAGTAAACCAGAATATAATTGTTGCATATCCTGGCTATGGGTGTTTTGGAAGAAAGAGACTTTTAGATGCTGATCAACTTGCCACTTTACGAGGGTCATGTTTTTCTGAGTGGATTTTCCACTCTCTCTTCAGTCTTAGCTAATGGTAAATAGCTTTTGGTCACACAGAACAACAAGCAAGCTGAGCTGTCAAGCCTTGTTTATGTGTATGCTACAGAAGTCTCCCCTTGAAACAAGCCATTACAACTCAGCCATTTGGTGGAAGGTCTGACCAGGTTGGAAGTTGTGCTACCAAGGGAAGAACAAACCTGCCAATTTAAGCTTCTCACTTTTCCAGTTTTCAGTTCTCCACATTTCCACATCACTTTGCCTTAAAAAATAAATTTAAAAAAACCTAATGAAAATTAACCAATGTTTTAGCACAAATTGCAACTGGTATACACAGGTTTGATTGCAGATTTGTCTTAGATCCACATGTTTGCAACATATGTAATATAACAAGTGTTCAAATGTAATTTCTCCGAGTACACATATTTTTATATACATGTTACAAAAATATGCAAGACTTGGCCAGGGAACTGCATTGCAAAATTCAGAGAAGTATGAATTTTGAAGAATGGCTGTGATTTAGTTTGCACATTTTTTTCCAGAATGTGCAGATCAGCTAGGCTCACTTTTAAATGTGAACTGAATCAAATTTGTCCCCCATCCCTCA